GGGAGCATCTGGACAGTTCGTTCGGAGCTCGTGAAAGGTCTCTTGGGGGCCTCCTGGGAAGATTTTGGAAGCCTCTTTCGGCCCGGTTCGGTGCCTGATGGGGACCGTTTCCTATGAGGCCACGAAGCGTGTGAGGGGTGTGCCGAAATGGGTGTGGCGGACGCACGTGGACGGCGCCTCTGGGGCCTTCGGTGGAGCTCCCTATGGGGCCACGAAACGTGTGAGGGGTGTGCCGACATGGGTGTGGCGGACGCATGTGAACGGTGCCACTGCGGCCTTCGACGAAGCTCCCAATGGGGCCACGAAACGTGTGAGGGGTGTGCCGACATGGATATGGCGGGCGCACGTGGACGGTGCCTCTGGGGCCTGCGGTGCAGCTCCCTACCGGGTAACGAAACGTGGGAGGGATGTGCCAAAATGGGTCTGGCGGACGCATGTGGACGGTGCCTCTGGGGCCTTCGGTGGAGCTCCCACTGGGGCCACGAAACTTGTGAGGGGTGTGTCGAAATGGGTGTGACGGACGCATGAGCACGGTGCCACTGGGGCCTTCGGTGGAGCTCCCTATGGGGCCACGAAACGTGTGAGGGGTGTGGCGGACGCATGTGAACGGTGCCACTGCGGCCTTCGACGAAGCTCCCAATGGGGCCACGAAACGTGTGAGGGGTGTGCCGACATGGATGTGGCGGGCACGCGTGGACGGTGCCTCTGGGGCCTGCGGTGGAGCTCCCTACCGGGTAACGAAACGTGGGAAAGATGTGCCAAAATGGGTCTGGCAGACGCACGTGGACGGTACCTCTGGGGCCTGCGGTGGAGCCCCCTACCGGGTAACGAAACGTGGGAGGGATGTGCCAAAATGGGTCTGGCGGACGCATGTGCACGGTGCCACTGGGGCCTTCGGTGGAGCTCCCTATGGGGCCACGAAGCGGGTTAGGGGTGTGCCGACATGGGTGCGGCGGACGCATGTGCACGGTGCCTCTGGGGCCTTCGATGGAGCTCCCAATGGGGCCACGAAACGTGTGAGGGGTGTGCCGAAATGGGTGTGACGGACGCATGTGGACGGTGCCATGGGGGTTTTGGGTGGAGCTCCCAATGGGGCCACGAAACGTGTGAGGGCTGTGCCGAAATGGGTGTGGCGGACGCATGTGGACGATGCCATTGGGGTTTTGGGTGGAGCTGCCTATGGGGGCACCAGACGTGTGAGTGCTGTGCCGAAATGGGTGTGGCGGACGCATGTGGACGATGCCTCTGGGGCCTGCAGTGTAGCTCTCCATGGGGCCACGAAACGTGTGACGGGTGTGCTGAAACGGGCGATGACGAGGATGATGATGATGATGATGATGATGATGATGTTGTTGATGATGATGATGATGAAGATGATGATGATGATGATGATGATGGTGATGATGATTGTGATGATGATACTGATGAGAGTGGTGTTGATGAGGATGACGATGATGATGATGATGATGAGAGGAGGGAGGGGGAGGAGGAGAGGAGTGACGCGGGGCGCTGTCTCTTCAAAACGAGGACACAACATCACAGGAAGGTTGGGAAAACAAGAGACAGAAAGAGCGAGACAGAGAGAGAGAGAGAAAGGCGGGCACACGCGAATGTGGATTACGTATCCGTGGATCTGGCGCATAGGCAGAACGATACGGTACGATACAACCACCGCTGCGGACACCGTCCAGGCCTAGCTAAGACCAGATGGGTAAGGCCGTTACCTTAGAAATCTGACGAATCTGGAAACCATGCCACGCGAGACACATGAATAAAACAGTTATGAGGGTAGGGACGGGGGAGGAAGGTCCTGAAGGTCGATGCCGGCGTGCTGCTCAGTATGCTCGTGTGTGTCGGCGTGGGAGAGGACGAGGGAGGGAGGAAGAAAAAATCCTTGGTGTCGGTGTCGGCGCGGGTAGGGCGTGTCGTCTCGACTTTTGCTGGGAGTTCATGTTATTCGTCTTGGTCCTGTGTGCCTGCTGGTGCGGGGTCGATGTAGTGATGCTCCAGCGCCGTCAATGTTTCGGTGTCCTGGGCTGTTTGCATCCATGTGATGTCGTTGGGTTCGCCTTTCGATTGGGTATGTGTGGGCGGTCGGTGGAGGTCTGGTCTGCGCTGGCGTAAGTATTGACTTCGTCGTCCCAACGCTTGCGTTGGCCACCGTGCTGCCTCTGTCCCCGCTGGCGCGGTTTGAGGTCTGGTTGCAATTGCAGCGCTCGCCATGTCCACCGTGTGCGATCGTGGTTTGCGACTCTGGAAACCAGACGCCATATCTTTCGCTTGTACACCGTCGCCCAAATGCCGATGCGGTGGAGCTTCACAAGGTGCTCTGCGCGTCGTGTCGCTCGCTGAACGTATTCAACCCAAGGTTCCACCGTGTCTACTGTGGTTCTGTCGTCGCAGTCCTCACTGTCCACGTCAGGTGTGTCGCGCTGGAATAGGTTGGTATGTGCGCCGTCGTCGTCGTTACTGCTATTGGTGCACTGGTTTTTGTCTGGTGCTCCGTTGTTGGTGACGTCGACAGCAATGGGCCCTCGGCTGCTGTGAGGGTCTGCTGTGAGTTGTTGCGCCTCGCCTCGGCGTTCTGAGGATCGTGCGGAATACCCCCGAAACGTGGCGCCAGTGCGGCCTGATTCGGCGATAAAGCGCATCGAACGTGCGTGGAAACGTGGCCCGTCGCGGATCCACGCGTGCATAATGATACCGGGGAAAAACCCAATAAGAACTATAGCTTAGGGGGCTATAGGGCTATACGGCTATAGAGCTATAGGGCTATAGAGCTATAGGGCTATAGGGTTGTAGGGCTATGGGGCTATTGTGCTATTGGGCTATAGGGCTATAGGGCTTAGGGTTTTAGGGCTACAAGGCTATAAGGCACCCCCGGGCACCCCCGGGCACGCCCAGGCACCCAGGAACCCGGGAATCCGGGCACCCGGGCACCCGGGCGCACCCGGGCACCCCCCGGGCAAACGGGCACCCGGGCACCCCGGGCACCCGGGCACACGGGCGTGCACCGAAAATCGGCGGCAAACCGGGCACCCAGGCACCCCCGGGCACCCGGGCACCCCGGCGTGCACCGAAAATCGGCGGCAAACCTAACCTAACCATATGAATCCGCTAGGACCCCTACAGAAGCAAGCTCTGGTTAGGGAATTCATGTGTATACTCCCTCGGATGAGGAAGCGCCAACATCCCTTCTCCAGTAGATGGATGATATATTCGAACCCTTACACATTCGAGAGAGATTCTAAATCACCCCCGCGCTCCCGACATCTATTTTGATCAGAGTAAAGGCGGTGCTTTAGGGTTCGGATGTATCTGTCCACTCACGTCCCCCCCGTCGCCACGCCATCAATAGTAATTTCGGGGGGTCTGGGGGGCATCTTGTGCCACAGGGCTCGAATATAATATCCATGTACGGTCCCTCCTCCCGGGACGAGACCCCTGACGTCGCGGATTATTCACACTGTGGACCAGCAGGTCTGGACACTTTCCCCGGGACTGGCAGCTTTCGTCCCACGACGCTTGTCGACGGTCCTGGGGCCCAGGACGAAAACAGCCAAAAAACCTCCCGCCGTGCTGTTTCCACAAAGCGAGGGGGTGGGGATCTCCCGTACATGGACATTATATTCGAACCCTGTTGCCCAAGATGCCCCCCAGACCCCCTGAAATTGATATTGATGGCGTGGCGACGGGGGGGGGCGTGAGTGGACAGAAATATTCGAACCCCAAAGAACCGCATTTACTGAGATCAACATTGATGTCGGGGGCGCGGGGGTGATTTAGAATCTCTCTCGAACGTGAAAGGGTTCGAATCGATTGTCCATCTACGGTCCCGCATCCTTTCTTAAAGGAAGAGGAGCTGCATAAAACAGAATTTCTCTGAGGCCCTGCGTGGATCTCTTGCGCCAGGGGCTGCCCTGGAGGCGTCGCCAGGGAGTCCAGCGCCGATCCAAGAAATCCGCGTGGACCTCCGATGTCGTGCGATTCAATGATTCACCACAAAAGGACACCTGACCCTTTGGGGAGGGACCTAAGTTAGGAAGGAAGGAAGGAAGGAAGTGCCGTCTAAGGCCCGCGGGGGGCGGCACCGATAAGGTGTTCAGTAGAGCCTCGTGGTCCAGTTCACGAAGTCGTCGTTGCATGTGTGCCAAAGGTGCCGGTCTTGCGCCACAGTCTGCCATTCGCCCATACCATGTTCGATACAATATCTCTTCAAAGACCCCTCGAACTTCATCCATGGCCGGCGAGATGGCCTCAGTGGCCTTTGGGAATCGTTTGCGAAAGACGCCTGCCACGATGAATCCCGCCACCTTGTCACTTTTCCTGCCCTTTCCCCGTAAGGCATTCGGGCGACGTGGCCTGCCCACCGCCACTTGCGCTGAAGGTGTGCTCGCGGCCACTCTTGCACGCCAGACTGCTTCGCTGACGCCCGGGCCTTGCTGGTCGTTCTCTGTAGCCACTCGACCCATTGCTCCTCCTGCCTGCGGCTGCAGCCCACTATCCGCCGCAGCATTGCCCTCTGTGTGGACTGAAGTCGTCTGAGTTCTTCCACGCGGGGAGACCATGACTCCGAGACCCAGAAGACAGTCCCAGACACAGTGCTTTCAAAGAGGCGCAGCCTCTTCTTCACGGAATACGAATTGTCCAATAGCACCGTTCTCCATGCCCAAAATTTCCTCCAACCTGCAGCGATCCTGTTCTTCACTTCCGCACCTGTCACGTCCTCCAATGACAAATGGATCCCGGGTAATGACCTAAGTTAGGAGGGCCAAGAAAATTAGGGACAGGGGGGTGTTTCCTGTGGATGTACCAGACCAAACCGCCTAGAATTATTGTCCCTAATGCGAAGACGGGGACCTCAGTGAGGCCACGTCTTCATCGTGATATTAGAGTCACGGGTAATTTTGCACTCGATGATTCAATTCCTCCCTTCTCCCTCCCCTCCCTGTTCCGCAACCAGTCCCTCCCGCACCCCCTCCGCAGCGGGGGCGGCGCGCTTTCGAGTGCTCGCTGGCCAGGCCACGCAAGACGAGCGGCAACACGAGCGCCCTCGCGCGCGGACGGCGGTCGGCTCGTCGCTGCCGCAAGGCAACGCCGTCGTCATCGCCATCGTCGTCGTCGGCGTCCCAGACCGTCAACGCATCAATCGAAAAAATTAAATACATCTTCGCCTTCGGCCTCTGTGGGCCCTCACAGGGTCCTGGGACAATGGAAAACTACGCATGATACAAAATCTGCTGTGGCTCCAGACTTCTGGGGGGCCAGTATGACAATTATTCACTGCGTGGAGCTCCCCATCTGTGCATCTATTCGCATGGGCCTGTCCGCCGTAAATGTCTAGGCGCAAGAGCTTGGGAATATAAACGGGCTTCAGGTGTGACGGTCTGGACATGAATCTAACTGCGAAGGAATTGGAGTGTGAATGAGCCTCAGTAGTACGAGCGCGTCTCTGCGCATGAGCCTGGGGCCTCCTGGGGCCCCCTGAAACCTACTGGGGCTTCCTGGGGTCTCCAGGAGCCTCTTGGGGCCTCCTGGGACCTCCTAGGGAGGTTTCGTGCCCCAGGAGAGGCCCAAACTATAGCAACAGACGTACATAAAACATTGCGGATTAGAGCCACAGGAGAAGGGCAATCTATAGGAGCACACGTCAACCACCAAGGACTCGTACCCAGGAGAGGCCCAATATATATATATATATATATATGAACATAAGTAAAACATGTATGATTGTGCACATAGGAGAAGGACAATCGATAGAAACACACGTAAAACATCAAGGAAGTGTGCTCCAGGTGAGGTCCAATCGATAGGAGCATACGTAAAACACATGGATTGGAGCCACCCCTGTTGCCTTCTGAAGCCTCCTGCTCCTGGGGCCTCTCGGGGCCTCCTGTTGCCTTCCGAGGCCTCCTGGCGCTTCCTGTGGCCTCCTGGGGCCTCCTGTGACTTTCTGATGCCTTCTGGAGCTTCCTGGGGCCTCCTGGAGCCTCTTGGGACATCCTGTGGCCTCTTGAGTCTCTCTGTGGCCTCCTGATGCCTCCTGGGACCTCATGTGGTCTCATGGGGCCTCCTGGAGCCTGTTGGAGCCTCCTGTGGCATCCTGAGAAGAATCTGCGCCCACGAGACTGGCCACCAAAACAGGCAAACCGATCGAGACATCCTCAAAGTCTGGCCCAAAATGAGCGCCTCGCTCGAGACATCCTCCAAATCTGCTCCGACAGCGAAGGATGTTGGGACAGAACACAAGCAAACCGCTCGAGACATCCCCACAAAACGGCCGCGAACGGGACCGTGAAAACAACCCTGGCGGCCCCCCTTAGGAACATGAGAATGAGCGCCTCGCTCGAGACATCCTCCAAATGTGTTCCGACAGCGAAGGATGTTGGGACAGAACACAGGCACACCGCTCGAGACATCCCCACAAAACGGCCGCGAACGGGACCGTGAAAACAACCCTGGCGGCCCCCCTTAGGGATGCTGAAACCAGCGCCCCGCCTGAGACATCCTCACAATCTGCTCGGATAGCCAAGGATGTTGGGACAGAAAACAAGCAAACCGCCGAAACATCCCGACGAAATTGCTGCGAACGGGACCGTGAAAACATCCCTGGCGGCTCCCCTTAGGGACGTGAAAATGAGCGCCTCGCTCGAGACATCCTCCAAATCTGCTCCGAAAGCGAAGGATGTTGGGACAGAAACCAGGCAAACCGCTTGAGGCATCCCCACAAAACGGCCGCGAACGGGGCGTGCGTGAGTCTCAGCATGAGTAAGTCTGAGTAGGAGTAGTTCTGAGTATGAGTAGGTCTGAGTATGAATAATTTTGTGTGTGAGTAAGTCTGTGTATGAGTGAGTCTGAGTGTGAGTCAGTCTGTGTATGAGCAAGTCTGGGTATGAGGAGGCGAGGGGAGGAGAAGGAGAAGGAGGAGGAGAAGTCGACGGCGTCCAAGAAACAACAAGAACCCCATCTTAGGATATGGGGAAACATGCATCGGATCTCTGGGGTCTTCGTCGACATCGTCGTCGATCGTTCGAGGATCGAAGATCGAGGCTCACGCATTTTTGGAGGACCTCTTCTGGGCCTTTCGGGGCGCCCCCGCTGCCAAAGATGATGCCGCGTCGAGATCATGCTCAGAACCCGCTCCGGGAAAACTCCAAGGGGTCGTCGGCGACGCAGTCGTCGCCGTCGCCGTCGTCGCGGCCATGGCTGAGATCGTTGCAACGCCCCGAAGCCCCCCAGAATCCCCTGGATGCGAGGCGGGGATTTATCCATACCCACCGCCTGGGAACCGACGTCCTGGGGGCCCAGCGGGCGGTGGATATGGATACATTGTCGCCCCTGGGGGCCCGAATATGTCCACATCCACCGCTTGTGGAGGTCTGCGAACATCGATCCTCCAGGCGGTGGCATGTAGAAATCCCCACCTCGAACTTGAAACCTCCCTCCCTCTCCTCTTCTCCCCTCCGCCGACCCCCCTCCTCCGACGGCATCCGACGTCTCGATCCGTCCGCGGCGTAGGTCCTCCCCAGAGACGGCGGACAGTCTAAGATCGGTTTAGGTGTAGGTGGTGCCCTCCGAGACAGGCGCAGGTCGCCTCTGTGCCAGGTGCGCCAGGGAGCGACGAGGCCAGAAGCGGAAACCAGAGGGCCAAATTGTGCGTGGCCGCCGCACAGCATGCTCCGCGAACGAAACAGATCGCACAGGCAAGGCTCGAGGGGGCAAGACAGAACCCAATGAGATACGGGGCCCCCGGAAGTCTCCCCCTGAGCTGTTTTCTGACGGTCCCTGGGCCTGGCGACGGCCCCCCAACGCCCGAAAACGGCGAAAAACCCTCCGTCTGAATTTTGCCAACATGTTGGAGGTCCAGGTCCGACCTCGACGCCATCGCCGGGACTGGCTTGTCACCCTGGGCCGATGAATGACCGCCCCGCGTCCCGAGACGGGCCTCTTCCCACAGGCCGAAGATAAGATGTGGAAGAGCCGGCCGTCGCAACTTTTTTACGAGGCTGCAGGTCTGGGCCCCACCATCGAAACGTGGGGGTCCCCAAAGCAGTGCGGGGACAAACCGTCCTCACCTCACGATCCGTCACCCACGGTTTTTTGGGACCTCGGAGGCTGCAACCGCCCGAGATATCTCCTGAGAACAACCCGAAACTTCCAAAAACCGTGCGGTCACCCCGCATCCCCACCGACGTGGCACACGGTGTGGTCGCTGCAACTGGCCCCCCTGGACATGTCCCCAGGCGCGATCTGGCCAAGATTTCGGGCGGATCCAGCCGTGGCGACAAGGGCGCCGCCCAACAAACAGACAAACCCCAGAACCTCGAACGCTGAGATCCGACGTCGCTGAAGAAGACGACATCTTCAAACAAATCACAAACGCGGCCCTGCGCAGACCCCATCTTTCCGAATAGCGTCTCGAGCAAGATCGACCCGCGAGGGCCCCCTGGGGCCCGAAGCCGCGCGAGACCGCCTGGTGCAAACAGACTGCGACGCCGGGATCCCACAGAGCCTCGAGCGGACTTGCCGCCCTCCCCCCCCAGAAAACCCAGATGGCGCAAGGCTCCCTCTCGCGGCGTGGAGACCCCGGTGCCCCTCGACCCCCTCACGGGGGCCCGCCGCGCCAGCCTCTCCTCCCGAGAGGAGGAGGAGGAGGAGGAGGAGGAGGAGGAGGAGGAGGAGGAGGAGGAGGAGGAGGAGGAGGAGGAGGAGAAGGAGGAGGAGGAGGAGGAGGAGGGGGAGGAGACGCTGTCTGACGGTCCCGGGGCTCAGGGAGGGCCCCCGGAGACGGATTGGTCTGCGCGGGGGCACGAAAATCGGAGCGGACGGCACGACTCAACCGTGGCGGCCACAGTCCCTGCCAAGGCCAAAGTGGCCTCAGACGGCGGCCCCGCCGGGCCACTCGAGAGGGGAGCCCCCCAAAAATCACCACGGGAGCGCTTCTCCCAGCCATCCTGTGGTGTTGGGTCCTCGTTTCGAAGAGAACGTCCCCGCTTCTCCTCCCGCCTCCTTCCTCCCTCCTCCTCCTCCTTCCTCCCTCCTCCTCCTCCTCCTCCTCCTCCTCCTCCTCCTCCTCCTCCTCCTCGTCCTCCCCCTCCTCCCTCCACCGTGCGTTTCTCCCACCCAGTACAGCGTTTCGTGGCCCTATCGGGAGCTCCACGTAAGGCCCCAGTGGGGGTGGCCACATGCGTCCGCCACGCCCAGTACAGCGCTTCGTGGCCCCATAGGGAGCTCCACCCAAGGCCCACATTGGGAGTGGCCACATGCGCCCGCCACACCCAGTACAGCGTTTCGTGGCCCCATAGGGAGCTCCACCCAAAGCCCCAGTGGGGGTGTGGCCACATGCGCCCGCCACACCCAGTACAGCGCTTCGTGGCCCCATAGGGAGCTCCACCTGCGGCCCCAGTGGGGGTGGCCACATGCGTCCGCCACACCCAGTACAGCGCTTCGTGGCCCCATAGGGAGCTCCACCCAAGGCCCCAGCGGAGGTGGCCACATGCGTCCGCCACACCCAGTACAGCGCTTCGTGGCCCCATAGGGAGCTCCACCCAAGGCCCCAGTGGGGGTGTGGCCACATGCGCCCGCCACACCCAGTACAGCGCTTCGTGGCCCCATAGGGAGCCCCATAGACAGACCCCAGTGGCACCGCCCGCATGCGTCGTCCACCACTCAGTACTGCATTTCGCGGCCCCATTGATTGGGAGCTCCACCAAGCCCCAGTGCCCCTTGCAGCCCCAGAGAAGCCACCATGTTCCTCTTCCTCGTCCTCCCTCGCCTCCTCCTCCTCCGCCTCCTCCTCCATTTCCTCCACCACGTCCTCCTCTACTTCAACCTCCTCGTCCTCCTCCTCTTCCTTCTCCTCCACCTGCTCCTTCTCCTCCTCCTCCTCCTCCTCCTCCTCCTCTTCCTCTCCTCCTTCTCCACCCCCCTCCTCCTACTCCTCCTCTCCTCCTCCTCCTCCTCCTCCTCCTCCTTCTCCTCCTCCTCCACACCTGTCTCCTCCTCCTCTCCTCTCTCCTGCTCCTCCCTCCTCCTCCTCCTCCTCCTCCACC